GCCCCGGGGGGTGGGGGAGCCACAGGTGGGAATGGGGGGCAGTGCCCCCCCGGCAGCCACCCCTCCGCCCAGCACTGACACCAAGCAGGCGCCGTTTTGGTCGACTTGCAGCTTCGTAGCCCCAGAGCCACCTTTGGGCAGCTCATTTCGGCCCGAATCCGGATTTCACAGCCTTGTGCCTTCCCCGTTCTCTTGCCCCTTCCGGCTCCCCTGCCTGCTCCATGCTCCCCACCCCGCCCTGCCTGCAGACCATCAGCAACGTGCTGCTGCAGTACGCCGAGATCATCTCCAAGGACTTCGCCTCCTACTGCTCCAAGGAGAAGGAGAAAGTGGTGACGTATCCCCTCCCCCGCCTTGCCCTCTTGCCTCCCGGTTGGCAGGGTCCCTCTGGGGTGGCCGTCTGCATCCTTCCTCCTCTCTCTCTTCTTGGGCGACTGCCTGGAAAGGCCCAGTCTCTGCTCTTTACAAGCCACTCGGGAGGTCACCTGGCCCTGGCCCCATGTCTGAGAGCAGCCCAGCCCCCCCGGCTGGAGCCAAACCCCTGGGACACTTTGGGTCCCACCGGCCTCGGAACTTGGCAGCAGGCCCCTGTCTCGACAGTGGGCAGAACCAAAGCCCACCCCATCCATACCCCCCAGGGGAACGGATCCCAGCCCCACCCTCCCGGGGGGCGGAGCGGGGCCAGACACAGGGTGCACAGGGCCCTTGCCCACGGGCGCACGTGGGCCAGCGTGTCTCCCTCTCGCACGCACAGAGCTCCCTCGCTCACCCGTGAGACAGGCACCTGCAATCGTGCCAAGGGGGCTCTGGCGAGGGGCAGGCCCAATTCTGGTACCGGGGGAAAGCTGCTGGCTGGGGCAGTTGCCCCTCCCGCCCGTCGAGTCACGTGGGCCAAGAAACCCTCCTGGGAAAGGCCCCTCCCCCTCCCGCCGGGGACTCCCCAGCTGGGACCATCCCCCGTTCTGCTCCGGGGCTGACTCACTGGGGGTACCAGGCCCCCCAGCGCCAGGGGAGCCGCTCGCAGCGCAGTGTCCGCCTGGCCGTTCGGTCCCTTGGCAGGTGGCTACTGTGGCTGTTGCCCCCCAGAGGAGGCAAATGAGCCTTGCCCCCTCTCCGCTGAGATGGGGGGAGGGGTGGAAAGCCCCACCCACGCGGGCTGTGACCCCTCCCCCCGGCGCCGGGTTTGCCCGTTCACACTCGCACACGTGTGGGGGCTTCAGGCAGAGCGCTGTGGGGACCCTCCCCCTCCCCCGGCGAGTGGGCTTGGGGCGGCAGGTCTGGCCATGCGGGGGTGCAGCCAGTGGGGTGCGAGCTCCCCACACTCACTGCCTCTCCCTTTGCTCCCCTCTAGCCCTGTATCCTGATGAACAACATCCAGCAGCTCCGGGTGCAGCTGGAGAAGATGTTTGAAGCCATGGGGGGGAAGGAGGTTTGTACCCGGTGCCCTGCCCTGTCCCTGCAGCTTTGAGGGGAAGGTCTCCACACGCTGGCCCTCTCGTGCGGCTGTGCAGTGGTACATCCCAGGTGGATGGGCCCCCCCCGGTGGGGGGCTGCGGGGCCCCAGGCGTCGCAGGGGCGCGGCGTCGGGGGGCTGCGGGGGCCCG